CCCACGTTGGCCACTGTGTTGATCCCGTGAAAATTTACCCCGTGAAAATGTGTGACCCGTGCCAGAGCTTCTACCTGCCTTTCATTCCTAAAATGGTTGAATACCTGTTGGGCTGACTCACTCTCTACAACTCGGCTCTACACTGTTCTTAGCTCACTTGGCCACCAAACCAAGCGATACCTATCTACCAGAAATGAGGTTGACTTCCAACGATACATCACCAGTCCGTCATGCATGATGGGAGCACTTGAACTGTGTTGAGCTGCGAGAAACACGCGAGAAACTTCCATGGGAAACGTGGCGAGAAATAAAAAGATCACGCTTTTCGCGCGCTGCCCAGGGGCTAAGTATCCGTGGAAATGTGTGTAGCCATGCACACGAGACTTCCATGCTGCATGCATGGGTGTTCGCCTTTCCAGAAAAGAAAATCCACAAACATAGTTTTGTGTGGGTTTTGCCCCATGGTTTCGTCCCTAAAAACATAGTTATCGAAAGGCGATTCCAGGCTAACGTGTCCACACATGTGTCTACACTCTACACTCTACTAGAGTACGTACGTGTTCTTATAGTTAAGGAACTGTTAAGTTGTATGCGTACAATTCATAGTTTGCTAGTAGCTAGAGTTCCAGCTAACTGGATAGTGTCGAGCTGGTGCGGTGGTCACGTTCCATCTGCCACGCAGTTGGTGTCTTGGTGATCGATCGGGCATTCGAGGTTGCTCATCTCTCACAAACGGAAAATTCTTCAAGCAAACGATGCCAAGTCCAACTCAACAAGTATAAGTAATTAAACACACATGCATGCTTGTTATAGCCGTCTAGTGTTTAAGCCGTACGTCGGTCTCCAACTAACCACTGGCCAGCACGCTTCAGTTGGTCTTTCCTTCCGGCAACCAAACCAATTTGAACCGGATAAGCACATCATTCTCCCTTCCGATCTGCTGTTTTAGACACGTACGGTCACTGGAGACTGAGAACGCACACTTGGAAGCTACGTATGACGACCTCGCAAGCTGCTTGCTTGCTAAGCTACGACATCTCGCGCGCGTACGACGTGTTGACCCAGCCGTGCGCTACTGGCTTTGGCGCCAAAGCTTTGCTATTCTAGCCCAGGGGTGCACACAAACAACTGGCTACGTGGGCCGTACCGTCACCGTGCATGAGCTATTCACGTACGTAGCCGACACGTATGGCAAGCAGCCGCTGGCGTTGATATATCAGCAAAGTCCGATTATGTACCATGCAAAGAAAAATCCGATATATGTAGAGAGAATATGCTCAAGATCATGAAATTAATATTTGTTAATGATACATATATACATCATTCATGGATAAGCACACACAAACCAATGAAAGAATCAATCCTTCTAACGAGCTGATAGCTAGCCCATACCTAGCTAGGTCTAATCCTGATGTTACAATGAACAAACCAATGGACTACAGTTCCTATCTTACATACACGAATGAATCGATGGTCATCACTAATCACCAGCAAGCTATGAACAGTTATGCACACCAACTAATTAATCAGCAGATTCTACCCTAAACTTTGACCAAGTATATGCAGCAGGTAACTGTGGGTTTACGCCGCGAGCATGAGCCTCGGCTTCTTGAAGGAAGCGGGGCTGAGAACCTCCTCCCCATCTTCCGTGACCGCGCACCGCTCCGGGATGTCCGGCAGCGCCGGCAGATTCAGGTCGAAGCCCTGGCTCGCCGCCGTCGCGCTTGCCGCGGCCGCCTTGGCGGCCAGCTTCTGCGTGGGCCCTGCGGCGGCGCTGCCGATGGTGCCGTCGTAGTGGCACCGCTTGTGTCCGCCCAGCGCCTGCCCAGTCGGGAACGTCTTCCTGCACACGTTGCACTCGTGCACCTTGCCGCCTCCGGCGCTGACCGCGGCCTCGCCGGACCCCGACGAGGAAGCTGCCGCCACCGCCGCCAGCGGTTTCTGGTCCTCTGCGCCAGCCGGCGCCGCTGTAGGCTTCCGGTGGCTGGCCTTGTGGCCGCCGAGCGCCTGGTAGGACGCGAACACCTTGCCACAGACGGAGCACCCGTGCTGCTGCTCTGGCGCGGCAGCAGGGGCGCTGTCGCGGTGGCCGTGCGCCAGCATGAGGAGGCAGAGCGCGAGGTACTCCTCCTCGCTGGGGTCGAGCGCGCGCTGCCGCCTCGACCGCTTCCGCTTCGACCACCCCTCCGCCTGCCCCAACAACGCCGACGCCTCCTCGCTGGTACTACTAGACGCCTCCATCTCCTTGCTCGGCGGCGACGGTATCATCGTTGCCGCTTCAAGAACCGCCTCCACGGCCATGCCAATCAGAGCTCACGTGCGTATATCTTTCTTGCACACCTGAAGAACTACAGAGAGTAGGAGCAACCAGTGGGCAAGAGAAAGAGAAAGTTGTGGGCAGAGCAGCTCCTGCAAAGGTGGTTTTATACGGAAGGAGCAACGAGTTGATCTATCAAAACGTGTGCGCCTATGACTGTTTGAAAGGGATGGAGTCTTGAGGTCAAATTAACACTTGGAAGTTGGAACACACTATAAAACGGGTGGGATCGGATAGAAGACATTGGACGGATTCGTGCGCGCGTGGAATCAGCTAGGGTGGCCTAGACTCCACGAGATGGAAAATTAGGCGTGGAATGGTGTGGGGAAGACAGGCGGCGCCAACTGCCGAGGGGATATGGACGTGACGTGTATAGAGAGTGTGTGGTGAGGTTTAAGGCCTCGAGAACGACACAACACGCATATGTGCCGTGCTTCGGTGTCAGCTGTGATAGTGTTTTAGGCATTACAGGAAAGCAAAGATAAGTATGTTGTACAATCTTGCCTTACATAAAAAGATTATAAGATTTTATGATATACAAGTGGATGGGCTCCCAGTGGCTAGAGCGCGTGGTGTGTCTTAGATCATCTCCAGCCGTTGGCCCCCCAGGACGCATAAAAATCGTCCTCTGAGGACGAGCCGGCGATTCGATCGGCGCTGGGGGCGGTTTTGCACCCAGTCGTCGCCCCCAGGCGATGTTGGCCCACTTTTGAAGCCCCATTTCGGCGAAAAGGCCCATATGGACGAGAATAGCCCATATTCGGCGTGATTCGCCGTGGCTCGGCGTTCAATTATTGACATAAATATTTTTTATCACATATTTCATCATAAAAATCAAATACTTCAACAAAATAGTACAACAACAAATAGTTCGATACAAATTATATAGTTCAACAAATAAAAACTCATATTTCATCACACGTCGCGCCCCGCGTCGCCCTTGAGCCTCCATAGGTGCTCTATCAGATCTTGCTGCAGTTGATCATGCACCTGTGGGTCCCGAATCTCTTGACGCATACTGAGGTAGGCAGTCCAGGTTGCCGGTAGCTGGTGATCAACTTGGGCAAGAGGACCATGCCTGTGATATGGTTCAGTGTCAAACACCGGCTCTTCCTGCTCGCTCTCAATGATCATGTTGTGCAAAATGACACAGCAGGTCATGATCTCCCACATTTGATCTTTCGACAAGGTCTGAGCGGGGTACCGGACAACAGCAAATCGAGATTGGAGCACACCAAATGCCCACTCGACATCCTTCCTGCAAGCCTCCCGAACCTTCGCAAACCAGGCGTTCTTGCCTCCAGACACAGAGTTTTTGATGGTCTTCACAAATGTCGACCATCTCGGATAGATGCCATCGGCTAGATAGTACCCCTTGTTGTAGTGCCACCCATTGATCTCGAAGTTCACCGGAGGAGAATGACCTTCAACAAGCTTGGCAAAGACAGGAGAGCACTGCAGCACGTTGATGTCATTGTGAGTTCCTGGCATACCAAAGAAGGAGTGCCAAATCCAGAGGTCCTGTGTGGCCACCGCCTCAAGTACCACACTGCAACCGCCTTTGGCACCTTTGTACATCCCCTGCCAAGCAAATGGAAATTTTTCCATTTCCAATGCATACAGTTGATGCTTCCAAGCATCCCAGGAAATCCTCTTGCTGTATTCTGTGCTAGGATCCGAGCAGTGTCTTCCGCATTGGGTGTTCTCAAGTATTGCGGTCCAAACACTGCCACCACTGCCCCATAGAACTTGTAGAAACACTCTATGCTGGTGGACTCGTCCATGCGCCCATAGTCGTCCTGTGAGTCACCGGGAGCTCCGTATGCAAGCATCCTCATCGCTGTCGTGCATTTCTGGATCGAGGTGAATCCAAGTTTGCCGGTGCAATCCATCTTGCACTTGAAGTAGTTGTCAAACTCCCGGATGGAATTCACAATCCTGGGGAAAAGCTTTCTGCTCATCCGATAACGGCGCCGAAATGTTTTGTCGCCGTGAAGTGGAGCATCGGCGAAGTAGTCGCAGTAGAGCATGCAGTAGCCTTCGAGACGATGTCGGTTCTTTGCTTTCACCCGCCCCGGCGCCGAGCCACCTCGCCACGGCTTTTCATTGCTCGCCAGCAGCTGGGCGAGGGCGGCGAGCACCATGAGATGCTCTTCTTCCTGGACGTCGGCCTCGGCTTCCTCCTCCAGCAGCGCGGCGAGCACTTCCTCGTCATCCGAGTCCATCACCGAGGCAGACAAATCGCCGAACACCTTGCGCCCGGTGGGCGTGCACCCGCCGCTAAACTGCCCCTCCGCGGCCGGAAACGCCCAGCTGTTGTCGGAGGGGCTGCCGCGGCGAACCTCTGCTATTTTTCCGGCGGGGAATGGCTATCTACCGGTGAAGGGCGGCGGGCGGCGCCGGGATATAGCTAGTGGCGGCCGAGAGCGCGGGGGGTGGGAGGCGAGTCGGGGAAGAAAATCTTGACTTTCCACCTGACAGCGTGGGCCAGCCACGCTTTTCCCTTGCGCCAGAGCCCCCAAGCGCCCCCCAGCGCGCCGGGTTTGGCCTGCGGCCGCCGGGCGGAAAAAAGGGCCGAACCAGCGCTTTTCGTCGTCCTGGGGGCGCGACTGGGCCGTTTTTTTGGCGCCGGCGCCGAAAAAGTCGCCGGGGGGGGGGGGCTGTTGGGGACGCGGTTGGAGATGCTCTTAGCCAACATGGAGCTTGTTTCTCAAAAACAAAAGAGAGAACTCGACATGGAGCCTCGGCTTGGATGTTGTGCCCCACATTCTCATCTTAATTAAAAAACCCAGTAGAGGCTCCACCTACTGGCCCATTTTTTAAAAAAGATTTGAGGATATATTGGTGGTCTCCGTAAATTGTAGTCATGACGTAAAAGGATACTCAAATGCTCCCTATGATGTAAACAATTGTTTTTTGATTCCTTTAAAAAATGATATTTTGATTTGAGTTTTTACTATTAACCTTTTTTGTGCGACTTTTGTTTAGCAAATGATTTCTTCCGGGTTCGAGCGCCCCTTGTCTGCCCACGTGTCGCTTCCAGTACCCCTCGCGGAGGTGGCACATTTTTCATCCCTCGCCCTTATCTCTTCTCGCAGCCTCATCATATCCTCTTCTCTCTCATTTTCCCCTTTCTTTCTTTTTCGCATGCGATTGCCATTTGCCATGGATCAAGCATGAGCAAGCTCGCCCCTTCCTTCCTTTCTATCTCTATCTTCAGACCTTCCACCTCCTCGGTTGCCCGTCGTGCATGGCACCCACAGTCAGTGTTGCAGCGCCAGTCGCCTCACACCACTAGTGACGGAAGGGACCAATGATGAGGAATACTCTGCCATTGTGCTGCCCGCTGGCGAGGCATTGCTATAGGTAAATGGAATTAGAAGAACGATGTGCTGCATACGAGAGGCGGCAAGTTACAACCGTGATGGTGGCCAGTTGCGACCGTGCTCGTGGCTTGCTGGAACCATGGCAGCAGGATGCTGCAATGGTGACGGAGGCTTGCTGGAACCATGGCAACGGGCTGCTACAATGGTGTGTTGGGGAACGTAGTAATTTCAAATTCCTACGCACACGCAAAATCATGGTGATGGCATAGCAACGAGAGGGGAGAGTGTGTCCACGTACCCTCGTAGACCGAAAGCGGAAGCGTTATGACAACGCGGTTGATGTAGTCGTACGTCTTCACGATCCGACCGATCCAAGCACCGAACGTACGGCACCTCCGTGTTCAGCACACGTTCAGCTCGATGATGTTCCCCGGACTCTGATCCAGCAGGGTGTCGGGGTTGAGTTCCGTCAGCACGACGGCGTGGTGACGATGATGATGTTCTACCGGCGCAGGGCTTCGCCTAAACTCCGCGATGATATGACCGAGGTGGAATATGGTGGAGGGGGGCACCGCACACGGCTAAGGAACGATCTGTAGATCAACTTGTGTGTTCTAGGGTGCCCCCCTGCCCCCGTATATAAAGGAGCAAGGGGGAGGTCGGCCGGCCCTAGAGGGCGCGCCAGGAGGAGGAGTCCTCCTCCTAGTAGGAGTAGGACTCCCCCTTTCCTACTCCTACTACGAGGGGGAAAGGAAGGAGGAGAGGGAGAAGGAAAGAGGGGGGCGCCCCCCCCCCTCCTAGTCCAATTCGGACCAGAGGGGGAGGGGGCGCGCGGCCCATGCTGGCCGCCCCTCTCTCTCTCTCCAGTAAGGCCCATAAGGCCCATTACTCTCCCGGGGGGTTCCAGTAACCCTCCGGCACTCTGGTTTTCTCCGAAAACGTCCGGAACACTTACGGTGTCCGAATATAGCCATACAATATATCAATCTTTATGTCTCGACCATTTAGAGACTCCTCGTCATGTCCATGATCACATCCGGGACTCCGAACAAACTTTGGTACATCAAAACTTATAAACTCATAATAAAACTGTCATCGTAACATTAAGCGTGCGGACCCTACGGGTTCGAGAACTATGTAGACATGACCTAGAACTATTCTCGATCAATAACCAATATTGGGACCTGGATGTTCATATTGGCTCCTACATATTCAACGAAGATCTTTATCGGTCAAACCGCATAACAACATACGTTGTTCCCTTTGTCATCGGTATATTACTTGCCCGAGATTCGATCGTCGGTATCCAATACCTAGTTCAATCTCGTTACCGGCAAGTCTCTTTACTCGTTCCGTAATACATCATCCCATAACTAACTCATTAGTTACAATGCTTGCAAGGCTTAAGTGACATGTATTACCGAGAGGGCCCAGAGATACCTCTCCGACAATCGGAGTGACAAAACCTAATCTCGAATTACGCCAACCCAACATGTACCTTCGGAGACACCTGTAGAGAATCTTTATAATCACCCAGTTACGTTGTGACGTTTGGTAGCACACAAAGTGTTCCTCCGGTAAACGGGAGTTGCATAATCTCATAGTCATAGGAACATGTATAAGTCATGAAGAAAGCAATAGCAACATACTAAACGATC